TTTTATTTATTTGTGACAACCTCTTTTTCTTCTATCCCAGATCCAATCGCTTAGGAAACTCTTAGCCTTAAAACTTATCCAAAACCTTATTGCTCCACTACTTTCTTCACTGCCTCCATGGTAAAAGACTCATGGCCCCCTGATTGATGATTGCAATTATCTGTCTTCCCACTTCCAAACATGCTCCCCCACAGCTCTCCACATAAATTCCATGTCCAGAATAATTATAGTAAACACCTATTCATGTTTTATTAAAAGTCTCTGTTAGTCTTCTGCTCATTCATAGAAAAAGCATGGTCCTAAAGTGCTTTGAAACCCACCACCATCCGGCTCCCACTCTTTCTCTCTGCTCCCTTGCAGTGCTTTTCTCCTGAGGTTGGCCCTGTGCCAGGCATAGGCTAGATGCCCACCTCCAACTATCTACCATGCTCACCTCTTAGGGACCATTCACCTGCTTTGGCCCTCCCTGATTACTCTCACTTGTTTCTCTTTCTCCTTCTTCAAGTCTTAATTAAAATATTTTTTCCAACAAGACTTTCCCTAAGCATCCTATTTAAAATGTCACTATCATTGTACACACATATGCACACACACACATAATTATTACTTAAATATCTTACTTTTCGTTAGCCAATTAGTTTGACATTCTGATATAGTTGTGAACTGTATTACATTAGTGAGTTTCTGACCTTGTGTGAGAACCATTAAATATGTTTGTTTAAACTGATAGCATGAGTCTAGTGAGAACTTCAACGTGAAAACAATGACTATCGAGGAAATATTTTTTACCAAGAAACTACACCTGCCTTTCTTTAAATAACCCATTTTTTTCATATTAATGGCATCAGTTTCTATATAATAAAATGTTCTGGCAGAGTATTATAGAAACAAAATACTTCAAAATTGTTTAGCGAAATATTGTCTTCATAATTGTGTTTATTTATTGACTGAGAAAAGTCCTGCATAGGATCAAGAACATTATAACAACCTTAATCGTTGTCCATAAGAAGACATACAAAATTGGACAACGTGTTGGGCAAATGTATAAGACAGATTCAAGTTAGCATACCATGTATTTACTTGCTAAGAAGCAGTTCTCTAAACACCAATTTCTTCACCTCTAAGAGGAAACATTTAATATAATTTCTGAATTTTCTTTTTATAATTAAATGGGTTAATCTGTATAATGTTGCTAGAATATTTTCTTGGACATTGTAGGCATAGTATATCTATTAAAATGGCTTGATAATGAATGTAGCATTATAATTCAGTTTTGCAATATAGTAAAAATTTCAATAGGGATGGATTAAAGCATTCCAGAAATAAGGATTTACATGAAGAAAACTATAAAGTGGAAGGTACAATCTATGTCTTAAAACAAAAATTTCTGAGGGTTAGTAAGGGAATTTCACTTAACTTTATTTATTAATTTTATTTTTAATTTTGACCAGAGAGGAACAGAGTGAGACACAGAGGGAAAGTGAGAAAGCAAGCCATCAAGTCTGGGACTTGAACTGAGGTCGGCCATGTGGGAGTCCAGCACCATTAATCATCACACCACCAGTCAGCCCCATGGACATTTTCTCTGTTCTGTGCCCTGCCATCATTGCCTAAAGCAAAAGTCCCTGTCATTATGGTAAGCAGTAAGGAGAGAGAGCACACACATTATAAAAAAAGTTATTGTTTCCCTGTATTGCAAATATACTGACTTTTCATTGTGGCTTATGAACCAACAATCTGTGAAAAGATGAATGACTCACTCAGTAAAGATATGAATGAACTACAATGCAATAGTGAAAGACACTAGTTCCTACTAGCGATGTGTCTTTTCAAATCAAGCAAAAGTAGAAAAGGATTATTAAACATTATCATTGGTGAGAAGTAATGCAATGCTCAGCAATACTAACGCCAAATGGGAAGGTCCCAGGTTCATGCCCCAAGGCCTCTCCATGCACTGCAGGCTTACTACTGTGTCCCTCACACTGGCTGAGTAAGGTTGGTGCATGGATCATGGTGCAAAGGTCCTGAAGGGAGTGCCCCTCTTTCTCAGAAGACTTAAACATTTTATTTATGGATCATTTACGTGCATCTTTCTTCAAAGAGTACTGACCACCAGGGACATCTATAGACATAAGTATATGGAAGCCATGTGGTGGCACAGTGTGAATACAACCGGATCCACAATGATAAAGGTCCTGGGTTTGGCCCCAGAACCTCCCTGAGCTGGCCTACACCTGCGTACACATGCCTGGGACCTGACAATGGGGGTGGATGACAGAGAAGACCTTCTTAGGAGTGTCTCTGTGTGTGTCTCTCATTCTTTCTCTCTCTCTCTCTCTCAGAGAACTGTTTAAGTAAACCTAAAAATTGTTAAAACACATGAGCATAGAGAAGGCGAAGTAAATTAAACAATTAAACCTCTCCTTTTTTTTTTTTTTTAAAGGTTTTTGCTATAGGGTGTGTGCGTTCATCAGAAAGAGACAGAGAGACAGAAAGCAAGAAATCACCCCCTCCCCCCTGGGGAATGACCATGCCACAAGCCCTTCTCCTTTCTTCTCTCTGAGTCTTGGGCATGCATGCACATGCACCCAGCATGAGCTTAAGCCTCTGGGTCCAGGACTCAAACTACGGTCCACTACATGGGAGTCCAGTGATGTAATAATTAGGCCATCTTGGTCCCAATTAAAACTTTTCTTAGAATGTAAAAATAAGTTGTCTCATCAATAAGATAGCCTGAATACATTTATATTTATGTTAATTATATAACATAATTTATCCAGCTTTATACTCTAAATTTGCAATATACAGGGCTGGAAGGTGGCATGGTGTTTAGGTGCTGGACTCCCATATAGCTGACCACAGTTGGATTCCTGGACCCGGAGGCTTGCTTTCCTACTTTCTCTTTTTCTCTCTGTCTCTGTCTCTCTCTCTCTGGTCAAATTAAACAAGTAGTAATGATGATAACAAATGAAATAAAATAATTCTTTAAAAATAAAAAATTGCAATGTATAATTATGCTGACTATAAAATGTAATTTCACTCATAATTAATGAAAAATAAAATTTATCTTTAATATGGGAATTACATTTATATGAATTAGAACATTTTAAATTACAGAATTTGCAAGATGATTTGAGTTTTAAGGAAACAAGCTTACTACAGTTAAAGTATTATTTGTTGGATTTACATGAATTATTTAAGCTATTTTCTTAAAGTTGTTTATATATTTTTTGATGTACCCAAGCAACCAGATGTGTTTGACATATTTGGGAACATAAGCTTTGCCAAATTACTAAGTATATAATCTACTTATAATACCAAATTTCAAACAATGTCTAAATTTAATTTCTGTAGGTCCCAGTTGGTGTTTATTCTGTCTGGGGGATCCCTTTCCTCATGTATTGTACATCCACACATTTCTAAATGAGTTTGCTCTCAGTACTGGGGGCAGTGCAGACAATAGAGAATCTGCAAATTTTATATCTACGTTTCACTTTTTTCACAAACCATGGACCTTGGGGCCAGCCAGTGACATGGAGGTAAAGGTGACAGGATCCTACATGGCTCACTATGTGGATCTAGTCCCAGACTCAGCGACATGGGAAACATGCTCGGTATGTGTACACCCATGGGTGCCCTGAATCCTGAGAAGAGAAAGAAGAGGCTGTGGTGTGGCCTTCCCCCTGGGGTCGCTTTCTCACTGTCCCTCTCTATCTCTCTCTGTCCTTTTGAGCAAGCACATATACCCTATACTAAATTAAAAACAAAACAAAACAAAAAAATTAATCTTAACCTATTAGAAATGAGAAGTTTCAATTTTTAAAGACATTTGTTACTTAAAATCATTCCATTATTATTTTCATGAGTATTTTAGAAAATGTTTACAAGTAACCTTTGAGGATTCCTTTAGTATAAAATGTATTCAGTCATAAACATAACTGAATAATATTCACAAGACATTTTAAGAACCATTGACAAATTTTAATATGTTATAGTTAATGAACAATAACAATGGAGACACAGCAATTTTTTAAACTATGCCTATTTCTTACCATATTAGGAAACTTAAAATAAAGCACAGACTTGGCTACTACTATGTATTGGTAGAGAAATATAATTTCTGCTTTTGTAAAATGCAAACAGTCTCCAATTAGTTTGATAACTCGAAGCCTATTTAGATCATTGATTTCACAGAATATATATAATTTATTCAGTATTCTGAAAACTAGATTATAAAATTTTTGAGATAAGTGACCTTGTAAAAATATTTTTATTTAATAAGGATATTTAATAGGCATTTACGTTTTTGAAGGAGTCCCTGAAACAGACATAGGTTATCACATACGGTAACTGAGAAGTACACAATGAACCATCAACTTAAATTCTATAGTGTACAGATAAAATTGTTTTTACTTCAAATACAAAAATGTATAAAATAAACTGTGAAATGACAATGTATTTCAAAATAAGTATGTTCTCTTAAGTGTTTACATATTTAGTAATTCATATAGAAGTGACCTTTATTTGTGTTGCTATATCCCATGGAGTGGTTGTAAATGAAACAAATTCCAGCTGTTCCCCATCCGTGTGTTTATTCTTTACCTTTATCTCAATGATGAATTTCAAAAATAAAAATGAACTAAAAATGACTATCCCACAGAACTTCACAAAAAAGATTTTTTTGGTTTTTTTCACCTAGAGAAGGTCATTGTTTAACTATTGATTTCCAGTTTTATCAGATTTTTTCAAACATAAGATGAAAGAAGAAAGCTTGAAGTTCTCATGTTGTTTTAAAATAAAAATAAATTCATATGATTATTCACAACATAAAAGTATATAATTAATATAATTAAAATAAAATTTGTTTTTAATATTTCAAAATCTATAAATTTATCATATTAATTATTATATTAGGCACACTAGTAAAAGAATATTGAAAGTATAACATATGAGATAATAATGTACTGTCTAGACTTTCGTCATTTATTATGAGCTCTTACCTGACCGGAATCTGCATCTTCACAAACGTAAGTCTCATAGTACTGAGAGAACTCAGGAGCATGGTCATTAATATTAAGAATTTGCACGTACACAGGGACTGTAGAGATCTGTTGTACATTATCTGCACATTCAATATACAAAATGAAAACAAAATATTTTAACAATATGTTTAGGGAAGCATGTCATGAAAATTACATTAGAGTTTATGTGGTTTATTTTTGTTTTACTTTTTTTTTTAAAAAAAAAAAGCTATCTGGAACCAGTAGATGAAATAATGGTTACCCATGTCATCAACCAGGGTTCAAGTCCTGGACCCAGTGGCTTAAAACTCATGCTGGACAGGACCAGCAGTTGATGTAATGGCTATATCTCTAGACTCCCACATAGTCGACCGCAGTTCTAGTCCTCGACCCAGTGGCTTAAACTCACATCGGGCACATGTGTGTGCATGCCCAAGATTCTGAGAGGAGAATGGAGGAGAAGGGATTGGGACATGTCCATCCCCCCTGGGGGGTGATTTCTCGCTTTCTGTCTCTCTGTCTCTCTCTTTCTGGTGAGCACACATGCCCTATAGCAAAAAACCTCTCAAAAAATTTTATTTTCTGTCTTTCTTTCTCTCTGCCTCTCTGGCAACTGCGTGTTCCATATAGCATAAAAATCTCTCTTGAGGAACCAATAGTTGATGCAATGGCTATGTTGCTGGACTCCCATGTAGTTGACTACTGTTTGAGTCACAGACCAGGTGGCTTAAACTCACACCAGGCGTGTGTGTGTGAGTGCCCAAGATCACAAGAGCAGAAGGGAGGAGAAGGGATTGTGGTGTGGCCTTCCCTGCTGGGTTTGATTTCTCACTTTCTGTCTCTCTGTCTCTCTGGCGAGCACATATGCCCTATAGCAAAAACCTCTTTAAAAAAATCTCTCTCAAAAAAGAAAAAAAGGTATCTGAGGACAGGATATTTATAAGACTCACATATTTATTACTAATACATCCTAGAAAAATAAGTTACATGCTCTACATATTCAACTTAATATTTATTGAGTGACTTTTCCTCACCATCGGCTGTTGCATGATGACAAAAAGTAGTAAAAAGATAGTCACGTGTACAGAGACCTTCCAGAAGTCTAGAAACTGTGGAAAGTATTTGCTTTAGCTCACTTCATCCTTATAAATATAGGTAGTATTATCCTCTCCAAATTTTCTGATAAAAATATTGAGAAACCAACTAGTTTGAAACATGACCACTAAATGATTTACGGAATATCATGGCTGAAGTGGAAAAAGACCTTTACATTGTGCTATCTATTGTCAGGTCACACAAAGGCTTACGTGCACCATTTTCAGCAGACTGCCACCGCTGACACCGCTCTGTGAGATACAACTCAATGTGCGTGGGCTCAGTTGTCATTTTCCTCACCTCTGCAGAGGAGAGCCCCTGGGAATACAGCAACTGAGCAGAGAACCTCACCTGCGGGGGCGGGCCCCCCCCCCACCACTCCCCAAACAGCAGATAGTAATCAGCGTTCTGACTTGCTGAAATTAGAATGTAGCTTCTAAAAGCAAAAATATGGAAAAGTGATCTAAACATATCTCAAAATAAAGTAATTATAATAAAGTCTAGGTGAGTTTGGGAGATTTTTTAATGAACCAAGAAATCCAGAAACCATGATGGAAGCAAGTTACAGTTAAATGCATTATTTTTAAAATTTTAATTTCAATTAATTAATTAGAGAGATTTTTGCTATAGGGCATGTGTGCTCAACAGAGGGAAGAGGAAAAGAGAAACAGAAAGCAAGAACTCATCCCCTGAGGGGGATGGCCACAGCAAAATCCCTTCTCCATTCTCTTCTCAGGATTTTGGACACGCACACACAAACGTACACCCAGTGTGAGTTTAAAGTCATGGTCCTGTGGTCCAGGACTTGAACCACAGTGCACTACATGGGAGTCCAGGGACGCAACTATCATGCCATCTGCTGGTCACTATTTTAATTTTTTAAAGAGATTTGTGCTCTAGGGTGTGTGCACTCACCAGTGACAGAGAGAGAGAGAGAGAGAATAAAAGAAAGTAAGAAAAGACATTCCTCCCCTGCAAGGGGGATGGCCATACCACAATCCCTTCTCCTCCATTCTCCTCTTGAGATTTTGTGCACACAAGCACACGTGCCCAGTCTGAGTTTCAAGCTGCTGGGTTCAGAACACGAACCACAGTCAGCCCTGTGGAAGTCCAGCACCTTAACTGATAAGCCACCTGCTGGGCTCTAAATGCATTTTTTAAATGGCAAAAATAGAGTAAAAATCCAGAACAACACCATCTGAGAGAATATTTGCATCACAAGATAAAATATTAATAATTATGTCTTAAGTCCTCTAAGTTGATGTGAAAAAGACATTGCAGGAAATACAAGGTAGAAATTCACAGAAAAGAAAATTCGAATGTATAACAGGGCTTCTCTCAGTTTTGTTGCCATTGACATTTTGGACTGGATAATCCTTATCTCCCAGTTGTCCTTGGCATCAGAGGATGAGTAGCAGCAGCCCTAACCTCTGCATGCTGAAACCCAAAGCATTCCCCACCCGTACTACAAAAACCAAAACTATTTCTAGATGTCAAAACTTGACCCAGGAAGGGAACAAAATTGCCTGGAGTTGAAATTCACTGCTCTATCATATTTCCAAAGGCTCTTGCTTATAAGAAATGAGGAGAATGATGATTTAGTCCATACAATTTGAATTACATCTGATAAACGAGCAGCCCGTGTTGAAAATGGTGGGAGTGTGAGTCATTTTGGCAATCTACTGCAGCATAAATAATAATATTTAAATCCCCATATCTGTGACCCACTTTGTGGGACCATGCCACAGTCCAGGATTCTAGTATATGAGTTTATGACCCAATTATATTCATTCCAGTATTGTTTCCGTCACGTCGAAACAACTGGAAATAATTCAAAAGCACATCAAAAAAGAGTTGGAGAGGACACATGACAACTATGACATTTTATGTACCTATGAAAAATGAATGTCAATATAATAAATGTATGGTGGACTTTCAAACTTGACTAGTTGGGTTTGACTCTTGCTTCCCAATTTGGAAAAAAAAAAAAAAAAAGTGCTTAAATGTTACTTGCCAAAATCGGTTTTCTGTCAAACAGGAGTGAAAGAGTAACTACCTTATTGGGCTATTGTAAAGATTAAACAAATTAGTACATAAAAATTCATTAAAAGATTACTTAATATATAAGTGTACAACAAATCTTATTTTTTAATGATGGAGATCATTGTGTACGCATGTAAGGCTGTGAGAGTAAGAGAGAGAGAGAAGGCACCCTCAACAATTCTCCCTAGTCCTCCAACTCCACAGGATGTTGGGAGTCTGTGCTGCCACCCTTGGGCCCTGGGTGTTTTCAACTGACTTGGGAACGTGAGCCCGTGGCCAGTCACATGGCTTCCAAAACTCTACTCCAGTAGGCTAAGGACTGCACTCCTGGGCTGGGCCTAAATATTAGTATTTTGTTGCATCCATTAACCAGATTTGGTATGTAATTTGTAAAATAATAAGTTGCAGAATAATACAATATGTTATACACTATTCTTTTACTATTTTTATCCCTTTTGTAGAAAGTGGAAAAGTGGATACAATTAAAGGGTTATGGGAGAATTCTTTTTTTTTTTTTTGACTGCTTTTATTTATAAACTGGGTACTACTTTGTTAGTCAAAAACATTTGTAATTGCTGATTTGTACGGGCAAATACAAATTAAAAGTGAAAGACTTCATTTTCCTGTGGAACATAACACTTTTCTTCCTTACAGCGTTTAGGTTAAAAAGGTGGTCATTATTAAGTTTTTCATTAAGCGCTTTGAACTCTGTGTAAATCTAAAATATAAATATACCTCTTGTAATCTTCAAAACCCAGAATGTTTTTTTCTGAATTACTGGGACAGTACCTTTGAAATATAATCAAGGGATATAGTGCCCGGTATCTTAGTGTCTGTCTGTGGAAAGAGGAGAGACTGATCTCAGGAAGGAGAGTGTTTCAAGTGATAGAAATACCTCTTCTCATAAAGGTATGGAAAATTTAGTCTTCCTTTGGATAAAGCCTGCTAGTGACGCAGGCAGACCCTTCCACCAGCGAGTGAATTTAGGAGTAACCATACGTAACCAATGGTGCCCAGGTCTCTTACTTGATTTCTAGACATGGTTCATCTTGAGAACATGAACAGGATGCATTGCATCTGCATGGCTATGTGAAAAGGTGAGATTTCTGTCTATCTGGGCCATCTTTTAACAAATTTTCTATGATGGTAGCCTCTTATTTTTTGGAGGGGGATTTTTGCATTAGGGTGTGCATACTCGCTGGAGAGACAGAGAACAGGACGTCACCCTCTAGGAGGATGGGCACATCACAATCCCTTCTCCGCCATTCTCCCCTTGGAATTTTGGGCACAAAATCACATGCGTCCAGCGTGAGTTTTAGGCTGCCGGGTCGGAGACTTGAACCCTAGTCAACTATGTGAAAGTCCAACAATGTAACCATTACATCTGCTGGTCCATTGCACATCTCATTCTGGTTTAACATTTTATGATAATTAAAATGTTCTTTTTTCCTACCTCTTTGGCCAGATTGGCTAGGTTAAGATGATATTATGTAAGTATATTTCTCCAACAATAATTACTATTATAGTAGAAATCATCATTTTCAGGCCCAGTCTAGTGGCACAGTCAGTACCAAGCTGAACTACTTGGCTAGAAACCACATGGCCAAATGCAGTTTTGGATCCCTGAATAAGCTTGAAAGCACTCCAGATAGGTGCTTTCCTGCCCAAGACCCTGAGGAGGGCTGAGGAGAGTGCACCACACCCTGCTGAGTGAACTACTCTCTCTCTCTCTCTCAAACACTTCTCTATCATGAATTAAAAGACTAAACAAAAATATAGAATTATAAAATTTTGCAAGTTTTTTTTTTTGAGAGGTTTTTGCTATTGAGCGTGTGCACTCACCAGACAGACAGAGAGAGACAAAGAGACAGAAAACGAGAAATCACCCCCCAGGGGGGATGGCCACGCCATAATCCCTTCTCTTCCTTTCTCCTCTTGGGATCTTGGGCATGCATGCCCACGTGCCCGGTGTGAGTTTAAGCCAACGGGTCCGGAACTCGAACCGCAGTCGACTATGTGGGAGTCCAGCAACATAGCCATTATGCTAACTGTTGGTCCCAAAATTTTGCAAGGCTTATTACACTCACACACAAACCCATGCTCTGTAGGAGATAAAAGGAGTCTTCACAAAGTTCACAGAAAATGTGTACTATGAAAAAACTGTGCATGAATTTCAAAATTTTCTTGCATCAAAATAAATGGGTAATTTTATTTCCATAAACTTTTTGAAGTCTCCTTGTACAGAAACCATTAAATAATTATTTGGGTACCACTAGTTGGCATAATGGCTATGTCACTGGACTCCCACATAGATGACCGCAGTTGGAGTTCCAGACCCAGTGACTTAAACTCACACCAGGCATGCATGTGCGCATGCCCAAGATCCCGAGAGGAGAATGGAGAAGGGATTGCGATGTGGCCATCCCCCTGGGAGTTGACTTCTCACTTTCTGTCTCTCGGTCTTTCTGGCGAATACACGCGCCCAATAGCAAAAACCTCTTCATCATCATTATCATCATCACCATCATCATTTTGTCATTCTTTTCTATCATGTTACATCTAAAATAAAAAATTTTTTGAAAGATTTCAAGATGGGATTATTAACAACTTAAAGCCCATGTTTGGTATGCTTTAGAGAATATACTATCACAGAACATCTTTTTACTGAGGAAGTATATTATAAGAAGTAAAACTCATTTTATGTTTTTCTCTCTTTGTCTAGAAAACTTGCTTAATATTAAGTTTAAATTAAACCTTTGTCACCAGCATAGAAAACGTGCATGCATCTTTACAGCTGCACTGTAAATTAGTTAGTAGATTTATTCACTTGCTGCCATTCTGATAAATAGCTTGGTGCTTAATTTGGGAAACTTTCCAGGAAACAGAATAAACACAATGAACTTCATTTGCTGAAAAGCAAATGTCAAATGGAACCTCTCCTTCCTATAATCAGTATAATTATCATGGTGCAAGCTTTCCATGGCAGTGCATATTCAGCTAGAGCTTTTCATTTTTTTTTCACCAGAGGGAAAGTGAGAAGTCACCTCCAGGGTAGATGGACACAGCAGAATCCCTTCTCTTCATTCTCCTCTCAGGATTTTAGGCGCACACGCGCACACACCCAGTGTGATTTTAAAGTCTGAGACTCACACCATGATTGACTGTGTGGGAATTCAGCACCTTAAAAAATGACAGCTGCCGGCCCCAAACAGGTAGTTTTTGTTGTTGTTTCTTTGTTTGTTTCTTGCCATAGGGAGCCTGTGCTCACCAGAGAGAGACAGGGAGGGAGTCAGTGAGAGGGAAAGTGAGAAATCACCCCCCAGGGAAGGTGGCCACACCACAACCCCTTTTCCTTAATCTCCTCCTGGAATTTCGGACATGCACACATACGCACCCAGTATGCATTTCAGTCTCTTCCTGAGATTTTGGGCATGCACACACATATGTCCAGTATGCCTTTCAAGCACCAGGTCCAGGACTTGAACCACAGTCGACCGTGTGGGAGTCCAGAGCCTTAATCACAATGCCACTTGCTGGCCCTGTGATACTGTTTTCCACTTGATGCATAGTTTGTTTTTATTAAAACTTAAATGGTCAAACTATTTCTGGTATTAATATCAGCGTAGAAAGAAATTGGCACTGATACATATTTTCCCTAAAATAGTTCTAAAATGGTTTAGAGATATGCATATTTTTTTAAAAAATTGAAAGAGAAAACTATTACTACATGTAAATTGGTAATACTATGCTATAAAAGATCTTTTTAACACTTTTTTATTTAAAAGAAAAATTTAAACAATCATTTTCAGAAATATGCAGTGAACCAAAGCTTCTTCCTTTCAGAATAAGCATCTTTGTATTTTCTCACATAAAAAGCCTTGGCATTTCTTTTGTGGAGAAGTCATTTTTTTCCATCACAACTTTCGTCTCCAGCCTGTACTGCTTAAATTAAAATTTCAAAATCAAGACCCAAGTCCTCTTGTAGTGTTTCCATAGAGCTACCCAATATAATCCCAAAACAATTTATGAGATACTTCCCACTCCACCATATCACAAGACAGCCATTCAAGAAAATGAAGTAAACTGAGGTTCAGAAAGCGGCGTGTTGATTAAGGGCACTGGACTCCCACATGGCCGACCACGGTTTGAGTGATAGACCTGGTGGCTTGCTTTCACATTTTCTCTCTCTCTCTCTCTCTGTCCCGCACCCCCGGGTCAAATAAAAATATAAATAAATAAATAAAGTTAAAATAATTCTTAAAAAAAGTATATGATAGGTATATGCTTAAACCTTCAAAATGCCAAGAAAACAAGATTATTGAAACTCTGTGCAAAACCAGTTATAAGAAAAGATGCATTTGGGGCTGGCAGGTGGCATAGTGATTAAAGGTGCTGGACTCCCACATGGCTGACTATAGTTCAAGTCCTGGACCTGGTGGCTTGCTTTCTCCCTTTCCCTTTCTTTCTCTCTGTCTCTATCGGATCCAATTAAAAAAATAATAATAATAACAAATGGAATTAAATAAATAAATAAATATTTTTAAAAAGATTGTATTCTGGAAATAAAATAAGGCACGGCCCTTCTGCTCATCTTCTAGAAATAGTTTTTCATGAAATAATAGTCAGTTTAATTTGATGATGGTTAAATAGATTAAAATTCCTAGTTGAATTAAATCTTTTTTAATTTGAAATTTCAATTTCCATTTGATAATTATACTACTACTTTTACAGTAGTAAAAGATTAAGTAAGCTTTTCTCAAAGTTGAAGATTTTGCTCTAAGGGAAAATTTTTTTTTTTTGAGAGGTTTTCAGTATAGGGCGCATGCGCTCGCCAGACAGAGAGAGAGAGAGAGAGAGAGAGAGAGAGAGAGAGAGAGAGAGACATAGAGACAGAAAGTGAGAAATCACCTCCAGGAGGGGATGGTCACGCCGCAATCCCTTCTCCTCCATTCTCCTCTCAGGATCTTGGGCACGCACGCACATGCGCCTCGCGTGAGTTTTAAGCCACCGGGTCCAGGACATGAACCGCAGTCGACTACATGGGAGTCCAGTGACATAGCCATTACGCTAACTGCTGGTTCCCAACAATTTCTTTTTTTAAAGTATTATTTCATTTTACTTGTTATTATTATTTTAATTTGCTACAGGGCACATGTGCCCATCAGAGAGAAACAAAGAAAGAGAGGAAAAGTGAGAAAGCAAGCCACCAGGTCTGAAATTTGAACTACAGTCAGCCATGTGGGAGTCCAACACCTTAAACACTATGCCACCTTGCCAGACCCTTGGGAACAATATTGACAAAATAAGTATTAGAGCTTCTTTTCTATCTCTAAGTATCTTTGCCTGGTGAATATATTTTTTTCAGAAAGTATAGAAGACTCTTTTATCATTAAGCTCATCATTTTAAAAAGAACCTATAGAGAAATTATTTTTATAAAAACCTGAACAATGTATATTTGGTGTTTATAAGTTGATACAAAATATATCCATGAAAAGATCATAAATACATAGAACTACATAACAAGTAGTCCTGGAATTTCAGGTGCATTTAATTTATGCTTCTCTTTTCCTTGAGTTGTTTTTTTTTTTTTTTGCATTATACATTATTTGCATAATAAGAAAAACAAGTTTGGAGCTATTTAGTGATAAACATATCAACGAGTTGTAAAAAGAATGAACAGATATTGAGTTAAAATAATAAATTAAAATACATAAACATGATTTAACATATAAAATAACATTTAACTTACATTTCATCAACAATTTTAAGTAGACTTGTCCCCACATTTTAGGAAATTTGTAATTATTTACAAAATGTGATAAGCAATTGTATATTTCCGAAAGGATTACTTACATCTTTCTGTTGCTGTAATACTTAGGTTGTACCAAGCATTGATCTCCCGGTCAAGTGTATTAGTGGTAAGGATTGTCCCGTTGTCATCGATATGGAACACTTTGCTTCCAGTAATAGAATACCTGCACCAGAAGGAAAGTAATCCTTCATGTTATTATTTACTCTATATAATGCTGATACATAGCACTATTTTTAAGCAATAAAACAAATTATTATATGCTTGCTCTACATAGCTTACATTATGCAGAAAAAATTTCTAAATGGTGCATTCATACAGTTAAGACTCAACTCAGTGGAGAAAGAAACAATCAAACAAAAACAAATGAACTGGCTTCAGAATTAAATTGATGTATGTTAAATCTTTGCCACTCATTCTCATACCCAAAAGTGAATTTTAACAATTAATGACTTGCTTAGAAAAACATTGAAGCAGGCCATGTTGAAGTTTAGCAGGACTGTAATTATTTTTCATTTAAGAAAGGTCTCTGATGGGATTGCAGATGGCATAACAGTTACGTTGCTAGATTCACATGTAGTTAACTGTGGTTGGAGCCCCAGACTGGCAGCTTAAAGCTCACACTGGGTGCATGTGCATGCATGCCCAAACTCCACAGAGGGGAATGGAGGAGAAGGGACTCAGTTGTGACCATTCCCCTGGGTAGGGTGATTTTTCACTTTCTGTCTTTCTGTCTCCCCGTGTCTCTGGTGAGCACATTTGTCCTATAGAAAAAAAATCTCTCTTTAAAAAAAAGAAGGAAAGAAAGAAAGGCCTCTGTCAAGAGCAATCTGACCAAGTGCTGTCATGGGGAGGATCTGTTTGAAGAATGTTCAGATAAGAAATGAAGAATGGGTATTTGAAGAAAAACAGGGATTAAAATAATTGCTCAAAGCAAAGTAATTGGCTGTGATTGACTGCAATGAGGATGGTTTGCACGTGCTTGTACCCGCCCTGTAAATCCTGAGCACAAGCTGGGCTTCCTGAGACAGTCGGATGTGCTTGCTGCCTGTCTCCTTATAACCCGGTTGCCGAGGTAAACTTCTCCAGCACCTGCATCCGACTTCATTGACTGTGAGTAGAAGCAGCCAGACTTAGTTTGCCCATAACAAAATGAAAAAAAAAAATTGTAAAATGAGGAGACATAGAGATAAGTAGGGGGAGCAATTAATGATTGGGAACGTTACATTTTTGAAGTAAAACACATCCTCAGTCTAGACAGATACTGAGTGCTTTCCTATACCACGCGCATCTCTTCTCAGTCTGTGAACTATGAAACAGTTATTTGACTGCACATGTATAAACAAAATGCTTGTTTTTATTTGCTTAAGGATGGTCATTTAATAATATTTGATAAAAAATTTCTCTGTGGATAGCAGATGGACATTTAATCCCTTCATGAAATCAGAGATAAAGCATGATTGATCTAATGTACCTTTAGGTCTCGCATGGAAGGAAGCCAGGATACAAAATTTCCTCATGTAAAAGTCTGAGAAATGATCTCAAACTCCACAATGAAAGGAGTGTTTGAAGTACTCAGCATGTCTCATCTGCTTGCAAATGATTAATAATAAAATTAAAGAAGAGTAATAACTAGGATTAAATGATGGCTTCTTACTGCACATATATTCCTGGAGACTTTGATGAGACATCAATGAGATTTACCATAATTATGTGGCAAACGATGAGAATATTTTAATCTTGAATTGACAGGTTTCTAAAAATATTATACCAATTTGTAGCTTGGTGTTCAAAGGAGTATTAAAATAGAAATTACAGAGAATTAAGCTTTAGAGAAGTTCAGTTTTAAACATTTATAAGCATTTTACTTAAATACTTGCAAGTGGTCTTATTATCCACAGAATACAATTGTTGCAAAATTAAACAGTATTTTAATAGTTGCTATTTTTTAAAACATCTAATCTTATTTATATATCATTCCAATTAAAATCCAAGAATTCGATAAGAAGTTGTGGTTTATAATAGTTTAATAATCATCTGTTAGAAATTAGGGAGAAGAATCAGAACCACAATAAATAGGTCCAGTTCCCATTGAAAAACTAAAACAAATAAAAACAGATGTAGACCTGACCCCTTCTAGGATCACCAGTTATGGTTATGAAAATGTTTTCCTCTCATTCTACCTTTGCCAATGAAATGGCCTTGGCCTCGAGATAGCTGTAATTAATGATACTTTACATATGTCCTTCTCACTTTATTTTTTTTTTAATTTTCTTTTCTTTTAGAGAGAGATTTTTGTTTTAGGGCACATGTACTTACTGGACAGAGAGAGACAAAAAGTGAGAAATCACTCCCCGGAGGGGATGGCCACACTGCAATCCCTTTTCCTTTCTCCTCTAGGAATTTTGGGCACACACACACTTGTCCAGTGTGTTTTAAGCCACTGAGTCCAGGACTTGAACCACAGTCAACTATGTGGGAGTCCAGCAATGTAACCATTATGCCATCTGCTGTCCCCTCACCTTATTTTTAGACACTAATTGACAACCATCAAAAAGTTAATAAAGTAGTAAACAACCATTTTATATATGCAACATATCACCTTAGCCAAACCATCCTTGCTAATTTTCCCACCTACTTGACAAAAATCTTTAAAATGGTTTTAGACTTACAAAGAGATTGTATAAACAAGATAGTTTCCATGTACCCTTCACCCATGTTTTTAGTATTAAAAATCTTATACAAACCATCATATTACTATTATTTCAAAACTAGCAAGTTAATGCTAAAATAGAAATAACTACTCAAAAACTTAAGTTGAAGTTCACCGGATTCATCAGAAAAGTTATTTTTCTGTTTCATGATGCAATCTAGGATTCAGAATTTCATTCCATTTTCATGTTTCCTTAGTGTCCTCCAGAGTTCCAACCCCCTCAGTCATGATTTCTCACTTTCCCTCTCTCTCCAGCCACCAAAAGTACCCCATAGCAAAAACTAAAAACAGAAGGAGAAAAAGAAGATGCTGAATAGACTTTTCCCAGGGTCTGGAAGCGGTATTACTCCTCCACCTGGGCCAGGTGCACCTGCAGAGACACCCTGTGCTAGCTGCATCAGACCTCATCGCCAGAGGCTCCTGCTGCAGACCCAACACCTGGTGAAGGTCGCTGCACAAATCGTGTCCTCAGCAGCCCAAAGTCAGATGGAGCAGCCTCCACCCAAGCAGCAGGTGCCAGCAGCAGAGACTGAGCTCCAGACTCTTCTGTCTTCTTAGGATGACACTCTCACTTGATTGAGGCTTGTCCTACTCCCGTGTCATCTAATCTGTGAATCTCTACAACTCTACTTCCCAGTGAGGTCAATTTTGGAGATGCTAGAAAATAGGACTCAACATAACTATTGGGGCATATGTTCAAACCACAGCACAGCATTTTTCTTTTCAGCAGTAAATACTTCTACTCAGAAATTTTGGGCCATATCGTAGGTATATGTTAAACGTCATAATGATCTTGCATGATTCAATCTTGATAAACTCACTTAAAACTACACATTTTTATGAATTTCTTGAAATTGTCTGTTAGATAATTGAGTCACCTATAAAAGTAGAGAAAACCATATCTCTTCTTTCCCACATAGTATATCTTCATTCTTTTTCTTGCTTATTGCATGAGTGAGGACTTCCCATATTATGTTGTATTATACAGGTGAAAAAATATATCATCTCATTCACAATCAGCAAGCAGGAGCGCAATATTTCATCATTAAGTGTAACATTAACTGTGCTTTTTTTGTAGATCCCCTCCATCTAATTAAGTCTTTTCTTCTATTCAATGTGATGAATAGCTTTTACTACAAATTTATTGTTTTTTTCTTCTAGTGAGATAATCATATAAGGTTTTGTTTGTTTGTTTGTTTAGATTTTTTTACATAGGGTGCAAAGAAACAGAGAGAGAGGAAAAGGTAGACATCACTTTCCAGGGTGATGGTCATGCCTTAATCCCTTCTCTCCATTCTCTTGAGATTTTGGGCGTGGGTCCAGCATGTTTTTCAAGCAGTCAGTTCCAAGATTCTAACCATGGAGGTGCCCATGTGGAATTCAGCACCTTAGCAATCACATCTGCTGGCATGATTTTTCTTTTCTTCTTCTTCTTGTCGTCTTCTTCTTCTTCTTCCTCTTCTTCTTCTTTTCTTCTTTTTTTTTTTTTTTTTGTAAAGAAAAAGTTTTGCTTTAGGGCACGTGCACTTGCTGGAGAGATAGAGAGAGAGAAAGAGAGAGAGAGAGAGAGAAAGAGAGAGAGACAAAGACAGAGAGGGAAAGTGAGAAATTGCCCCCCAGGGGGATGTCTATGTGCAATCCCTTCTCCTCCATCCTTCGCCTTTGATCTTCTGCATGCACCTGTGCCCACCAGGTCCAGGTAGAACTATTATTGGCTATGTGGGAGTCCAGCAACATAACTGCGACACTATCTGCTGGCCCCCCAAGTTTTGTTTTTTAACCTAGTAGCATTATGCCAAAAAATGTTATATAGGGAAGTACCCTTGCATTCCAGGGATGCACCCCACGGGCAGTTATGTCTTATCCTTTCTACTAATAGCTGGAGTTGCTATAATTTTGTCAAAATTTTTGTATTCTTTATGAAGCATATGGGGCTATACATTTTTTTGCTTTTAATATTTGGTTGAATTCATCAGTGACATTATTTGATTCTGAAAATTTTCTTTTCTTTTTTTAGGATTTTTGACTGAATTTTTGAAAATGTGTGTGTATGTTTTGTGGTTATGTATATATATTACATATATTTATGTTAATATATGAAATTACTGAGGTTATTCATCTTTTCATATAACTTTGGTGATTTTTCTCAAGAAATTATTCTGAATAAAGGGCATAGAGTTGTTCATGGTATTCTCTATAATGTCCTTGGTCTTTATGGCTTGAAATTGACACATTTTATTGTATTTTGAAAGGACCATCTTCTGGGTTTATTGTATTTCTTTATGTGTTCTACTTCATTTCTATGATCTAATCTTATCCACTCCCTTTTTTGCTTGCATTGGGTTTAACTTGATCTTTTTCTAGCAGAAAATAATACATAGCCTTTCTCTTTTTTTAAGGACTATTTTTATTTCATTATATTTGTTCGTTCGTTTAGTATTTTAATTTGACAAGAGAGAGGCACAGAGAGAGAGAGAGAGAGAGAGAGAGAGAGAGAAAGTGACAAAGTAAGACACGCGGTCCAGGACTCAAACTCTGGTAGGCCATGTGGGAGAGTCAGTGCTTTAACCACTACCCCCCCTGCAGGTGCCTACATAGCCTTTTTTTTTTTTTTCTTTTTTTCCTATACACCATGTACACTCACCAGAAAGACAGAGAGAGAAAGAGAGACAGAAAGTGAGAAATCATCCCCACACGGGGGATGGCCACGCTGCAATCCCTTCTCCTCCATTCTCTCGAGATTGTGGGCACACACGCACATGTGCCCAGTGTGACTTTAAGCCACCGGGTCTAGGACTTGAACCATGTACATCTACATGGGAGTCTAGTGACATAGCTATTGCACCAACTGCTGGTTCCAGAAAGCAAGCTGCCAGGTCCATGACTTGAACTATGATTGGCCACGTGGGCGTCCAGCTCCTTAACCACCACACCACCTGCTGGTCTCTGTAGCCCTTCTTATATAGAAAGTATTTCATAATTTGACTGTAGGCTTAGTTAAAAAGGGAGCCATAGTATTGTCCAAATAATAGTTCATGCCCAATAAAGACAAAGGAGCATTCCCTGTATCTGTAATCTAAATAATATATCATTATCTCCATCTGCTCAAATGACTATAACAAATGACCATCAACTGGGTGGCTTATAAACCACTGAGGTTTATTTCTAGGTATTCTGGAGGTTAGAAGTCTGACATCATGATGCCAGCACGGCTGGTCTGATGAAACCCTCTTCTGGGTACCGACGGCTAACTTCTTGTGTCACCACATGGCAAAGACGGGGCAAGCATGCTTCTTTTTTCTTTTTCTTTTTTTTTGGAGAGGTTTTTGCTACAGGGCACGTGCGTTCGCCAGACAGACAGAGAGAGACATAGAGACAGAAAGTTAGAAATCACCCCCCAGGGGGGATGGTCACGCCACAGTTCCTTCTCCTCCATTCTCCTCTCGGGATCTTGGGCACGCATGCACACGCACCCAGCGTGAGTTTTAAGCCACCGGGTCCAGGACGCGAACCACGGTCGACTACGTGGGAGTCCAGCGACATAGCCATTATGCTAACTGCTGGTTCCCAAGCATGCTTCTTGATATTCCTTCCACAGGGGCACTGGTCTTTCCTGAGACCTCCACCTCCTGATAGCATTACATTAGGTTTAGGGTTTCAACGTATAAATTTGGGGGCATTGCATTAATATATAGTTTTAGGAATAAAACAAAAATCCAAAGAATAATCTCTTATAAAGTTCCTCATAATTTTTATGATGATAATTTTATTACAGAATGCCTGTGGATTCCTATAATTCCTACTGTGCTAGGTTCTGAAAAATACTACCATCTCATTTTTAGGTCTAAATATTATACTCTTCCTTTATTTCTGTATCCTCGTTAGAAAACTATTTACCATACAGTCTACTATTATTATTTTTATCAAGGCCAATCTTACTTCTCTAGGTTTCCTGACCTTAAAATGACAAGAATATTTTAAACCGATGAAACCAGTTTATTTATTCCGCCCAAGATTTGCTGGAACCAAGTATAGGAATCTCCATGCATCACAGACACCCAGGTGACTCTTACTCAGTGGAGAAATCTTATTAGGTTGAGTTCAATGGAGTAGGTATAATAGACTTCTTTAGTATGTACCAAGTAATGAGACATACTAAGACTAAAATATACTTTTTTAGCATTTCCTTTGGTTTTCAAACCTCTTGCCACAGAGTCGGTAAAAAAGAGAAGAGACATCATCAAATGGAAACTCAAATGTAATTATGTTGCATTTTTAGGCTCAAATGTTTCATGGATCTTTTGCTTTCAAAATAAAGAAAGAAGAGAAAATAAGAAAGAGAAAGGAATAAAGCTTCTGAAATGTGCTCAAGTGTCTCTTTTCACACATATCAGAGCTTGTTTTCTGATACACTTTGAACATTTGCTAATTCAGACTATACCATATGGAAACAATGACAACAAAACCTTCATTTTCCCAGTGATTTTAAACTATGTATGAGAAGCTATCTGATTTAAAAGGCACTTCGAAGTGAAAGAACATCTGTCAAATCAATGAGATATATTCTTTTGATAGGCAATCACCAATTATTTTTAAAAGTAATTATTTTCAGTATAACAGTGAATATCATTAGCTAAAATAATTTTAGGTTGAGAAAGGTAATTAAATACCAGTAGTGACACCAGCTAAGATATAACCTCTTTGGAGAGATTTTCACTGTAGGGCGCGTGCGCTCGCCAGACAGACAGAGAGAGACATAGAGACAGAAAGCGAGAAATCACCCCCCAGGGGGGATGGTCACGCCGCAATCCCTTCTCCTCCATTCTCCTCTCGGGATCTTGGGCACGCACACACACGCGCCCGGGAAACGTAGCATTCTTATACATTGTGGACATTTTAATCACTGTATTAATCAGTACTTGGTAGTTCATGTAATTCTCTGGATAAGGATTATGGAAAATAAGTGAGCAAGGTGAGGTGCTGCAAAGAAATACGTAATAATAGTTTTGCTTCATATAAACTAGATGACAGTTCATTTTTAAATTTTTATGTTAATTTTTATTTTTATTATTTTTAGTATATATTTTGTAGTTGCATTTAATCAGTGTATATCTAAACAGTATGTGAAATGTTTCTCTAAGCATATACAGAGTGTATATTAGCCAAAGATATTACCATATACATTTTCATCACTGGATACATTTTTTTCTGTGTGTTTTCTAAATTTTTTTTTTTTTCTTCCCCGATCTCCTTCCTCCTATCCTCTCAAACCCACTGGCTCCTTTACTATCTCTAGTATATACAGTAACCTTCCCTGCTATTCTACCTTCCGATCTTTCAGTTTCTGCTATAGAGCACAGACATTTGGCATGTATTAAACAGTGAAACACAATGCCTCCCTTTCATAGTCTGGCTTTCTTTGCTTAATTAAATCTTCCATACTGTAACTTAGGACAGTGGAGAACAATATGGAGGTTCTTCAACCACCTACAAGTAGGACTGCCATATAACCCAGCAATTCTGCTCCTGGGTATCTACTCAAAGGATCAACACTTGCACACTCATGTTTATTGCAACATTTTTCACAATTGCTAAGACATGAAATCAAGTCACATTTCCAAAAACAGATGAATGGGCTGGAAAAAAAAAATAGATCCTGACATTTGATACAGAATGGACAGGATTTTTTTTTCTAAGTAAATAAGTAATTAAAAGTAGCAGACTATTTTAACAGATGGTAAATGTTTGTTTAATTGGAACCTGGAAATTTATTTCTATTCCCCTGAACTTATAGCATTTAGCATTTAATTTAATTTTATTATTTTTTTTTAACCAGAGGCCATGTGCATTCTGAAAGAAAAACAGAAAGAAATAGAGAGGGAGAAAGCATCCCCCAAAAGGTACATGGTCACCCCACAGTCTATTTTTATCTATTATAATCTCTCCGTCCTGTCAGAATTACGGGCATGGATGCATATGCATGCATGATTTTCATGGGATTCAAACCAGGTGGTTGTCCCTGTGGGATGTAACCACTGGAACAGAGGGCTGGGCCATGATTCCATGATTTATATAACTTTTACCACTTTATATTATTTATTTATTTATTTATTTTGGGGGAGTGTTTTTTTTTTTTTTTTTTTTTTTTATAGGGCATGTGAACGTGCCAGACTTTTTTTGCTATAGGGCATGTGCACGTGCCAGAAAGACTGAGAGAGACAGAGAGATAGAAAGTGAGAAATCACCCCCCGGGGGGGGATGTCCTCGCCACAATCCCTTCTCTTCCATTCTCTTCTTGGGATCTTGGGCACACACGCACACATGCCTGGCATTGAGTTTAAGTCACCAGGTCCAGGACTTGAACCGCTGTCAACTACATGGGAGTTCAGTGACATAACCATTACGCTAATTACTGGTCCCCATTTTTACCACTTTAAATGTCATTCTGTAAGAGCTGTCTCAATTTCTAAATATCATTAGTGTTGAAATGAACCACACTTTGATCAGCTTTCAGTTCTAAGTTCTAATATCCAAAGGATTCTTTTCCCTTACCTTCTTAATCCTATTAAGAGAAAGTCAATTGTATGGAATTTCAGTTGGTGATTGCAAACATTTGGTTGCATGTTTCTAATTGCTTAACAGCATGGAGGATTCCTATGTCTAACTAGATTATTAGAATTGTTAAATATTACTTAAGTAGAAAAATATAGATATAAAACTATACTTCATATTTGCATGAAACTTTATTTTCAAAATAATCTGTGGTAACATATTAATGTAAGTCTGCAGGCATACCTGATAGGAGATTTTCTGTTATCTGGGTCTATGGCAGACACTATGCCTACAAATGATCCATGTGGATTTTCTTCCAAAATGTCAAATGCATAATATGGGAGGAGGAATACAGGAGGCTCGTCAACATCTTCCACCTGGATCTTAATGAAAGTGGTGGAGGCTTCAGCATGGAATTTCATGAGGTGCTCGTCAATGTGGCGATTTTTAACTTTTGCTCTAATTCCATAATGGTTCTGGTATTCAAAATCCAATTTCTATAAGAAATACAGTGCACAGAAGAAAATATTTCAGTCTCTCAAGAAATTAGTTTTTTAAAAAAAGCTTTATTTGTTAAATATTGGATTTATATATATTCTTTAAAATAAAAAATAATTTTATGGGCATAAATATTTAATAATATTAAGAACTACTGGTATTTATGATATTTTCAAAAAGTTTCCTTTTCACTTGAAAAGCTTTTTTTTTAGTGTTGCTATAGGTGTGTGTTCTTGCCTGAGAGAGAGAGAGACAGACAGACAGAGAGAAGGTGAGAAGGCATCCTCAGCCCCAAACTTGAGGGAATCGTCATAACACAATCCCTTCTCCATCCTTGTCTTGAGATATTGGGCATGCAAACACATGTGTCTGCTGTGTTTTTCAAGCCACCGGTCTGGGACCTGAACCACCTCATCAGCCTTCTGGCATCCAGCTGCCATCATCACAACACCACTAGCCAGCCAGAAAATCTTTGTTTTTGTTTGTTTTGGTTTTTTGTTTGTTTATTTTTGTTTTTTTTGTTTATTTTTGTTTTTGTTTTTGTTTTTGATCTATTGCTTATAATTCAAGAAGGTCTATAATAAACAACTCTCTTATATCTATAACTTCATTTCTCCCTAAACCATAAATCATAGATTCTCATTTCAATTACTTAATGAAGGAAAATGTAACCAACTACGCAAAATAATTATATGCATTTCTGATTTGATTTTGCACTATTCTGCAAAGCAAGTAATTCCAAAGTGCATACTTTTTTGTAGAGTTTTTTTTTTTTTTTTTTTTTTTTTTTTTTTTTTTTTGCTATTTGTTTGTTTTTTTTGCTATAGGTTGTGTGCGCTCACCAGAAAGATAGAGAGAGACAGAGAGACAGAAAGTGAGAAATCATCCCCCAGGAGAATAGCCACGCCACAATCCCTTCTCCTCCATTCTCCTCTCGGGATCTTGGGTATGCACGCACATGCACCCAGTGTGAATTTAAGCCACCATGTCTGGGGCTCAAACTGTGGTTGGCTACATGGGAGTTCAGTAGCATAGCCATTATGCTAACTGCTGGTCCCCAAAGTACATACTTTTTTTAAAACAACTATTCCTTCTTGTGTCTCGTTATTAGTAATTATGTCAAATGCTTGTGAATCGTCCTCTTCAATGCTGTAATCCATTTCTGCATTCTGTCCTATGTCATTATCATGTGCCATGATTTTTCCTATAGAAGTTCCAGTGGGTGCAGATTCAGGGACAGTAAGGCGGTATAAACCTTTAAAACACAATTGAATATATTTTTGTTAAATACTTAACATAAGAAAGTCAGAGAGAGAAAACAAAGGGGATTTCTTTTTATTTTTACTTTGAATCTGAAAAAAATTCTAATATCTTATTTGAGTATCATTGTCTCTCAGATATTTCAGTCCTACCATCAATATGAATAACTTGAATTTTATACTTATAAACACACCTTCTCAATATTCATGACTTGTTTTCTTTTCTTTTCTCTTTTTTTCCCCCCTAGGTCTTTAACATAAGGCAAGTGTATTCAACAGAGAGATTCAGAGAAAGACACAGAGAGAGAAAATGAGAAATCATCGCCCAGGTGGCATGGCCATGCTGCAATCCCATCTCCTGCATTCTCTTCTCAGGATTTGGGCACACATGCACACGCATCTGGCATGATTTTCAAGCTACCTTGTCCAGGACTCAACCAAAACTGACCATGTGTGAGTCCGGTGTCTTAACCATCACACCACCTTCTGGCCTCTTATGAGTTATTTTTACTGAATCCTTCTATTATCTCAAATTAAACTTCATAAAAAGAGTTTTATTTTGAAGAGTCCCTGGTACCTGAAGTTATTAGTAAATGTAAGTGTAAATTGAAATGGGAGAGATAAAAAGCAAATAGCTGAGTTCTAAATTTAGCAGTTTCATTTTGAGGTTTTGAGCTAGAATTACATTACATATAATAAAAAAGAAAAGAAAGATTAAGATGAAGGTTAGTAAGTGAATGTATTAGCAAAACCATGTTAAAATCAAAGATGATCTCATTGGTTGCAAGAAAATAATGACAAATATATCTGAAATATGGAGATTTATATACATTTTATTTCTTTATTTTTAGAAGTAACTTGCATAAAATTTATAAAGAATTATATCATTCTTAAATTACTTGTAATTTATGCTAAAATGTAAGAAATTATCAAACATATTAATGTTATAAATAAGGAAAATTAGATGAGCCAGCATAGTTAAGGGAGCCGGATCCTACATAGTGACTATGGCTAGAGATTTGAAAAACAGGGCTTGGAAATATGCCAAATGTGTGCTTGCCCCAAATCCCAACCATATGGAGAATGCAGGATGGGAAACTGCTCCATATTCATACCCTCTGAGGGGTATTACCTACTCTTCTCTTTCTTTCTCTGTCACAAGTGAATGCATCCACCCTCTTGTAATTAAGAAAAAGAAAGGGGGCCAGGAGATGGCATAATGGTTATGTAGCTGGACTCCCACATGGCTGACCACAGTTTGAATCCAAGATATGGGCACTTGAAACTCATAGTAGGTGTGTGTGTGTGTGTGTGTGTGTGCATGTGTGCATGTGTGTGTGTGTGTGTGTGTGTGTCCAAGAGACCAGAAAAAGAATAGAGAAGGGATTATGGCATAGTCATCCCTCTAGAGGTGTGATTTCTAACTTTTTGTCTCTCTGTCTGTCTTCGTCTCTTTGTCGAGCACACATGGACTACAGCAAAAATCTCTCTCTAAAAAAAAGAAAGAATGAAACTTAGAATTAAAGAAGTATATATAATAGAATCCTTTTTTAAAGTGATTCATGGTTACCTAGAAGCATAGAGCAGGTAGGTCACTTGTCAGACTGTTTAAATGTTTTACTTGTTTTAATGTGGAAAAAAATGTTACTTAAAATTTGCTAATATTTTAATAATACTATGTGTGCATGTGTGTGTGTGCATACACACACATATATATTTTTTGTGAGTTTTTTTTTTCTTTAGGGCTTATCCACTAGCCACAAAAAGAGACAGAGACACACAGTGAAAGCGGAAGAAACCACCTCGTGGGGGTGGCCACACCGCAATCCCTTCTCCTCTAGCCTCCTCCTGGGATATCAGGCATGCACACACACATGCCTGGCGTGAGTGACAAGCCATCAGGTCTGGAACTCAAACTGCGGTAGGTCGTGTGGGAGTCCAGCAACATAGCAACTTACACTGCCTACTGGCCCCAATAATGCTAATATTTTTTATAGTGGAAGTAATGTTTTAACTGTGCTGTAATTTTCCTCTCACTGTGGGAAAAATAAAAATTGTTTATTTGATTGCACAAATTAAAAATTGACAACAAATTTATCTGGTGGGAACAGTGATACTACCATAAATGTGAAAGCAGATGCTTCAGACTAAATGTATCTGAGCTTATTAACTCATAAGCCCACAAAATTACAAACCACCAGAACATTTCCCTTAGTTAGTATTTAATCTGTGCAATTTTCCATACATTCAAATCCTATTATTTTTTAACACAATTCTTCCTGAAGGCTCTGTCTTTGAGAGTGAGGATATGACGAAAGCCAGTTCCTAGAAAGCTACCGTCCATTAGCTTACATTCTTGATAATGAAGCAGGCAGTGAGCTGTGGGTAAGCACTAAATTAATATTGTGATGAAATGCTTTCAAATACTCTATAAGGTGAAAAGTACTCACCATGGCTCTAACTTCTAGATAAGAACTAAAACAAGGGAATAAGTTCTCAAGGAAATAGAATTTCAGGAAGAAAAAAGCCAGAGGACCTCAGACAGGATTGGAGGAAGGCAGATATTGGGAACACAAGGACCATCTAGCTTTTACTAAAATCAAAATCTTTTAGACATTGCTGTGATCTCACCTGTACTTTTAACCAGTTCACTAAAGCTGTGTTTAAGAAAAGTACTAAAGGGGAACAATGGTATAAAGAGAGAGACTAGACAACACAATAATAGAGATAAGATGGCAGCATGGATCCCGATTGGTAGGAACGGGGTTGGTGAGAGGTGTTTAGATTTGAGAATTTCCCTTAGTTAGTATTTTTTAAAAGTCAGAGCCAACAGGGTCTGTAGAGGATTGAATTATGATTTGGGAAAAATGAAAGAGGAAAAGGTGGCTTCAAACCTTTAAACAAAGTATTTTCTACTACAAGAGGCGTGTATGTCTGTGTGTGTGTGTGTGTGTGTGTGTGTGTGTGTGTGCATGTGTGTGTTTGCATGCCTGTGTGTGTTTGCTCACGGAATGTTGAAAATCAAGAACTGTCAAGAATTGTGCAGAACAAATGATCAATTCAAGTTGAGTGAGAAATTAGAATCAACCTGAGTTTGGGCCAGTACGATCTGAGTTGGATCATTATTTCTCTATATGTGGTACTGTTTGAATTAAACAAGTGAGATTTGGGCTTAAGAAATAGAAAATCTGGATTTGTTAGAAACGGAGATGAGAAAGCCTATAAGAAGAGAAGGTTTAGAGGAGGTGGTAGTTAAGATCATGTATTTAATTGAATATGTATAAATATATTCATGAAGATGTGATGAAGATGTGTAGGAAGGTGGATGGATGTATGGCTGTGGTGCTCAAGGAATAAATTTCAGACTATATATATATATATATAAAATTGAAGTCATGTGTCTGGATACGAACATCAAGGAATGAGTGCAAGTGGAAGGGAGACAGGTCAAAGACTTGATCCCAGAAAAATGCCAAAGATTAAGGTATGCAGAGATGAAGATGCATCAGCAGAGACTGAAAATAAGTGACATGTAAGACAGAAGAAAAGCTAATGACAATGGCACCTCAAGTGTTTCAAGGAGGGAGTAATCAGCTGTATCAAATCCTGCTGGGAAACCGGTCTACATTAGAACTGAGAATTGACATTGCATTTAGTTACACGTAGGCTATTGATAGAAAAGGCCAGTTCTGTTTGATCAAGAAGTGTGGATTAAATCCTAATGGAGTGGGTTAAAAGCATTTGAAGAGAGTAATTGAAGACAGTGTTAATAACACTTTTCATGCATTATCTCCACACAGAAGGGGAGAGGAGTGTTATTAGCTGAATATGGAAGTGAAATCATTAAAGAGTTTTTTGTTTTGTTTTTAAGATGAGAGTAAAACAATAACAAGCAAACATGTTTGGATGCTAATAAATATGAACCAGAAGGGAGGGAAACTGTTACCATGAGGGAGAGTGTTGCCCTTGGTTGGGAGGGGAGAGGATGCTGGTCCCAGCAGAGGGGATGTGTACTGAATATTTAAAATGACAGGAAGGCTGTGGAATTTCAACAAGGGAAATTAGTATGAATGAAAGTTTACCCACAGTCCAATCTGAATGATGGTAATAATACCACCCTGTTACACATGGATTTGGCTAACTAAGAACATTGGAAAATATTTTTTAATGTTATAATTTATTCAAAGATTTTTTTTTATGTTAACATTGTGAAAAAATCAAAGAAACTAAAAAGTAGAAAGGCTTCAAGGATTTTTTGTCTCCACAAGTTTTCTTGGGAGTTCTCCAACTACCAGAGTAACTTAACTTCCTTATATTCAAGTTTATTATTTATTTATTCCATGTGTGAGACAGAGAGAATGCGAGAGAAAGAGAAACTGCACCAACGCATCCTGGTACTGCAATCCACCCCCGATCTTCAGCCAGTCCCGAATCATGGGGAAGCATGTCCCAGTGTCAAGACTTTCCTACTTTCTCTATCATTTGTATAAAATATGCATTACAATTATGCAGTGATTTTCCTATTTTCTCCACTTGTTATATGCCAGTCGTTTTGTAAAGTTTTCAATACTTCGAATATAATTAAACATTCTGCATTTGCCTTGAGGAGACAACGTTCAGGGTGGAGATAGTCATGTTCCTCAAACACGTCATTACAGGCAAGTGCTGCCCCATTGCCCACATTCCACCAAAGAGGAACTGCTTTATTGGTCCATAAAAAAAAAGATGGAAATTTCTTTTTTAAGAAATTTTTGCTATGAGGTGAGTACACTCGCCAGAGAGACAGAAAGTGAGAAATCACCCCCCAGAAGGGATGGCCATGACA